TAAAGACAAACCTAATGAGCTGGAAGCCAGAAGAAAGGCGAGGCTTAGCCAAGTTGCAGCCAAAGCCATTTCTAATAAACAAGTTCTCCATATGCAGGGATAGAAGTCCCATGCAGAGAGAGAAGCCTGCATCATTCTGTCTCACAACAGGAACTTGAGAAGGAATCATAGAACCATAGGACAGCTTAGGTTGGAGAGGATCTTAAAGATCAGCCCCTCTCCTCTCCTCTCCTCTCCTCTCCTCTCCTCTCCTCTCCTCTCCTCGTCACCCTTCCGGGCTGCAGGCGCACACTGCTGCCTCACGTCCCGCTTCTGCCCATCAGGACCCCAAGTCCTTCTCCACACGGCTGCTCTCAACGAGTTCTTCTCCACTCTGGGCTCATGTCTGGCGCTGCCCCGACCCAGGAGCAGCACCTGGCCTTGTTAAATCCCACCACCTCATTCATCTGCCACTGACCCCCTGGAGCAGGGAACGCTCAGCATCACTTCACACCACTTTGGAAGGTCATTTGTCCTCAAGTGCTTATAATTCTTCCCGTGCAGCAGCAGCGTCAGTCATTATTAGCAACAACTTCAGGCTCTAATCATAAAGCTGTTATTTATGTTTAATCCAAGCCACACTAAATATCAATTTGAAGTTTAGTCCCCCCAGTAGCTGGCAATATTTCTCTATTATTATTGTACGTTATTGTTATTTATGTGACACGGTGAAAAATGGAGCACAGTAGTAATCTGACCTTTATTTATTTACACTTGTGTGCATCTCTTGCCACCCTGGGCCAGGCAGTGCGGTGCACTGGGAGCATCCCACACCCCCAGAGCAGTGCAGGTCCTGGGTATGGGCAATGCCTTCAGGAAGTTCTGAGCAGGAGGGCTGGCAGCACTGCGGGGTGCAGCTCTTGCTCTCTTTTCTCTCTCTCTCTGGAACCAACAGCTTGAGCTGAACTGTGATTTAATGCCTGTGATCATGGTTTGCATGTAAACATCACTGCAGAACAAAAGGACCCAAAGCAAACCTGTGAGGCTTTCAAACTGGAAGCAGCAGTTCATCAAACGCTGCAAACTTCCCCAAAAGAAAGTGTCAGAACAGCTCAGAACACTTCATGGAACAGCATTATTAACAAGCAATTATCTGCTGGGATCAATGGAGCGATTTTACAAATGAGACTTAAGAACCCCTTACTAACAGGTGAGAGAGCTGCTTTCAACCTGTGGGCTGTGCTCAGCCAAGTGAAATGCCTTGATTTGCCCTAAAATGAGAGAGAAAAACCTCTTTGTGATGTGACAACGCTCTGGAGATGGGAGTTGGTTTTGTGCCCCTCTTCCAGAAGTGAAACACATGAAGGGCTGTGCAGGACAGACCTACTTTAGGCTGAGTGCATTTCCAGCTATATTTACTATCAGCAGACACCACAGCAATTCCTACACCATGGAAAGTGTTTGCTCCTCCTGCAGCCAGGAATGAGAACACAGCATTTCATACCTCATTTCATTCGCTGTGCAGAAAAACAGGAATTTTCTGAGCCTCAGGGAGCGGCACAGGCTGTGCTGTATGCAATGTATGGATTGCTCTTCTGTGGTTTTTAGGGAATTTTTTTAACCTGGGAAGGAGGAAATCATCCCCATTCCCAACTCTGTCTGAATTTTGAGCGTGTAGCTTTGAGTGCTTCACCGCATTCCTCCCGCAGTGCCTCTCTGTTTGTGTATACTTGGTTTATTGTTGCTTTTTTTGCATTCACTCATTTCACTGTCAATTTAAGCTTAATGTCATTAAAATTGCTCTGGTTTGCTCTACTTAAAATTCTCCAATTAGAAGGCATTTTTTTTCTTTGGCAGGAACTGCTAAGTCAATTACTTTCTCCTATTTTGTATTTTTCCCTAATGACTCATTAGATAAGCACCTTTGCAATTGCCTGCAGGAAGCAATCAGCCCGCTATCAGCAAACGCCTCGCACAAATCAGTGGCAGAAAGCTCTGCAGGTTGAAGGCCGGGCATCAGACCTGGGCCAAGACAACAATGTTTTCCCAAGGCCTCAGCACCCCAGGGATGCACAGAGCATCGCTGCCCTCCCAGCACAGCGCTGTGGATGCAGAAGCAGCGGGCTGGGACTTGGTGGAAACATCCTCAGCAGTCTGAAGTCACTTTGGGTAACATCTCCATGTGCTTCATCTCCCCACCTTCCACGGCCCTCCTCCATGCGCTGTGCTGAGCAGCAGGGGAGCCTCACCATTTGCTGATCAGCTATTAAATGCTTGAAATCTAATTAATAGCGTCGCTCTAACTTTAGTCTGCTTGCAAAGCTTTGTTATCAAACTATGCCTAGTGAAACAAATGTGCTAATTAGCCACATTGGAAATAGGATGGAAGTAATAGCCCATTATTGTAAAATTGTGCTATTTATGCCCAACAATAACCATCCCTTGCAGGGAGAAACACTGAGTGCTTGTTACTGTCTGGATGGGGGCTTAGTGTTGTGGAGATGGGGAGAGACATCCAAGGCACAAACAGGGATTCACGGTGATGCAGAATGACAGGGCAGGGAGGTTTCCTTCCCTCAGCCTCTTCTGAGGATGAAGAGGTGTCTGTTAGCAGAGAGTAGAAACTTGCTCAGTGCATATCAGGGCTGTGGTTCATTGCTAATATTGACCATTAGCAACCTGACTGTGTCTCACCTAGATGTAGAAGTTAACAGCGCATGCTCCAAGTGCAAGGTCTGCACCTGGCTCATGGCAGCACCCACTGTCAGTGCAACTGGGGGACGTAAGGATAGAGCACAGCCCTGCCAAAAAGGACCGGGGGTACTGGTGGGGGGCAGCTGGACATGAGGCAGCAGTGTGCCCTGGCAGCACAGAAAGCCCAGTGGACCCTGGGCTGCAGGCAGAGCAGCGCGGGCAGCAGGGCAGGGAGGTGCTCCTGCCCCTCTGCTGTGCTGTGACAGTTCACCTGCGTCCACAGGTGGAGTCCTCAGGGCAGGAGAGACGGGGAGCTGCTGGAGCGCGGCCAGAGGAGGGACACAGAAATGGCGGCAGGGATGGAAGCCCTCCCTGCGAGGACAGGCCGAGAGCTGGGGCTGAGCAGCACGGAGAAGAGAAGGCAAGAGAAGGAGAGCTGAGAGCGGCCCGTCAGCATCTGAAGGGGCTGTGAGAAGGGAGGGGACAGACTCTGCAGTGGGTCTGTGTGATGGGAGAAGGGGAGATGGCTTCAGACTACAAGAGGGGAGATTGAGGTGGAGCTGAGGAAGAAGGTTTGGCAGTGAGGGCGGTGAGGCGCTGGCACAGGTTGCCCAGAGAGGCGGTGGTGCCCCGTCCCTGCAGACAGCCAAGGTCAGGCTGGACGGGGCTGTGAGCACTGCTGAGCTGTGGGTGTCCCTGTGCGCTGCAGGGAGCGGCACCAGGCGGCCTTCAGCTCCCTTCCACCCAAACCACTCTATGATTCTACGATGGGACAGACGGGCGATGGCTGCAGGACGCTCCGCGCCGCTGTGCTGCAGAGCCTGGGCTGCCCACGAGGAGGCGGAGGTGCTGCTCCCCGCCGGGCTGAGCGGAGCTCACGTCCCTTTGGCTGCGGTGCTGCTTCGGGGCAGCGTTCTCCCCTCGCGCTGCCGTCCCGAGGCGCTGAGCTCCTCCCTCCCTGCAGCGGTGCCAGAGGGGCTCGGTGAGGAGTTCGGGCCGACCCTCCCGGCGCTGCAAACCTTCGGCCAACGCGCAGCGGCGGTGCAGGAGCGCTCCCTGCAGCGCTGAGCTCAGCGGGCGCGGCCGGGATTCCTCGGCTCCCGCAGGAGATGTCTTTGCGGATGATTTATGCCGATGTTTTTTGCCGGGCGCGTTGCGTTACCCCAGCAACCGCGATGCGGCCTCCATCACCCCCTCGGGGTGGGATGGGAGGCGGGGGAGGGGGCTGCCCCACGCAGGGACCGTCGGGGCACCTCGCTTCCCGGAGCTGGCGGCCTTCCCCTCCCGCACCTCCGCCAGATAAGCTCCCCCAGAACACCGGCGACGAAGGGCAGCACCGGGCTGAGGGCGGCCCCCCCGCCCCGACGGCCCCGAGTGCCCCCTACCCCCTCCCGCCCTGCTTCCGCTCTCTCCAGCTGTGGGGGGAAGGCCGCTGGTTGCGTGTTTGCCGGGGCAGAGGGTGTGGGAAGGGGTGAGAGCTCTCTGAGCGCGTTAGCAGCTGCGGTGGGAGCAGGCAGCCAAGTTGGACGGAGGCTGTGGATGCTGCGCGGTTTCCTCCCCTGACTCATCCGAGCGGCCGGGCGGAACGTCGAGCACCGGGCCCAGCTGCAAGAGGGGCTGCTCCGGGCTTCCCCAGGGTGGGGCAGAGCTGCCCGGTGCCCGTCCCCACGAGCAGAGCCCTCGGGCACCACAGGAAGAAGACGGGGACCCGCGAGGTCCGTACTGCGGTGCACGGGGAGAACGCAGAGTCCCCTGCTGTGTCCCATCCCGCAGCGCTCCGCTGCTCCGCACGTGGCCGTCGGACCCCCGACGGCTGGCACTCCTCTGCGGCCGGGCCCTGGCTGCCCCCGGCCCCGTTTTCATACGGGCAGCGCTCGGCTCTGCTGTGCCCTCCCCCGTGCAGCCGTGGGCCGATCTCCCCTGTAAGCAGCTGCGGTAGTGGGGTCACCCCGCAGCCCGCTGGGTGGGGACGGGCGGGAGGGGCCGCGGAGCTCGGCGTCCGCCCAGGTGAGGCCCAGGACCTGCGCGGGGAAGAAAGGGACTTTTGTCTTCGTGCCGGGAGCCGCCGGCCCGAGGGCAGCCCTGCACGCAGGGGGCACGGGGACTGCTTGCTATTTGACGGTAACTGAGCCCGACCCTTTGGCATTTGCTGCCTCTGCCTCTTCCCACGGCGGGAACAAGCGGCGTGTTTAGCAGGCTGCGGCGGGAGAAGAAAGGCCGCCTTGTCCGCGCCAGAGGTGGGGCGCCGGCCGGGGCGGTCGCACTCCCGCCCCGCATTCCTCTGCCTGAGGCTGCCTGTGCGGGGCTGCGCGGGACGGGGGGCTGCGCTGCAGGCGGAGGGCCGGGGGCTGGCGGGCGTCTCCTCTACGGGAACCGGTGAGGAACGGGCAGGGCGCTGCTGGGGGAAAGGAGCCGTCCCAAGCAGGGTGGGCGACGGGGAGAGCTGGAACCCGTGATGGGGTCCAACGGGGTGATGGGGCTGAGGGCAGCGGGGTCGAGTAGGGTCGTGCGGCAGGTGGCTGGCGGGAGTGGGGGCAGATCCTAACGGGGGCGGCGTGGCTGTGGCTGCTCCCCCCCCTCCCCTCCGGGGAGCTGCACGCTGGTACGGCGGGGCACTCCGTGCTGGGAAGGGTTAACACCCGCACAGGATCCCACCCTGGCTCCGCTCCCTTCCTATGCCGGAGCCCAGCCCCTCGCTGGCTTTTCCTCCGGACATCGTATCGGGGCCTCGGCGCTGGCGAAGCTGTGGGTAGGCTGTGGGGTCTCACGATGCTGGGGAGCGTGGCTCCCCTGCCCATGAGCAGCGGTAGGCAGCCCCGCCAGCATGTCGGGGCCGTGGGGACTCTGCGGCAGAGGCTCCCGCTCAGCGCCCGCACCAGGACCGGGTGGCAGGTAAGGGAAAGCGGAGGCTCTGTGTCTGCATCCGACAGGGAGCGTGGAGCTGCTCCCGAGTACCCAGGGGCTGTGCCTGTGCTCTGCCCGTCAGCTGGCACAGCCCTCCTGTGCGGTGCTGCTGCAGCACCACTGAGCCCTCGCATCGAGCGGAGCAATCTGGGCTCCGTCCCAGCCCTGAATCTGACGCCTGCTGTTTTCCAACATTTCATTTTTTCCGTGGTGTGTAATAGCTGCCCGCTCGCCCCCACAGCTGTGTTCAGGGCCAGCCGGGCTGGGAGTGCTGTCCCTCTCCTCCTGGGACACTGTGAGCGATGCTGCGGGGAGCCGAGCCCGGGGCTCACACTGCACCCCACGTGCCTCAGCTGCTCTGCACAGGCTGTGGGGCCGGGAGGGAGAAGACCCTGTCACCGTGAGCAGCAGCTGGCCCCGGGGTCCCTAGCAGGATGAGCCCACTCCCATGGCGGGGCCAGCCTGCCCAGGAAGGGTTAAGCTGCATGCAGCCAGGCTTGAGCGGAAGGGAGGGACGTGAGGAGCAGACGGTAAATTTAGTAACCAGAGCGTCCCGGCACAACAAGCGGTGTGAGCGCCGGGCGAGGGAAATTGCCGCTCATGGGCCGCGTTCCTCCCCGTGCACAGGAAGGCCGTGGGTGGCTGCTGGCCTCGTGCCGTGTCTGTGCGTCATAGGGGCCAGGCCTGCTGCTGGGGGCTGCCCTCGAGGGGCAGGAGCGGGTTGGGGTTAGGGTGGGAGGCAGAGTGCGCGGCCAGAAAGTCCCAGGCTGCACGGAGGGGTGGGCAGTGACAGCCGTGTCCCTGCTGCCCTGCTGGCTCTGGGTGCTGGCGGTGGGAGGGGACGCGGCGCTGAGTTCGTGCACCCCCTAATCTGGCTGCTGCCGGCCTGTGCAGAGATGGGAATGAAGGCATGCAGCTGGGTGCTGGAATCAGGCGTGTGTGGGTGTGCTGGGCTGCACTGTGAGCTGCTGCGCGCGGAGGCAGATGTTGCTGCAAACAGCTGGATGCTGCTCTGCTGTGTCTGCCTGTGGCCATAAGGGCCCAGCTGTCGACTACTCCCCGTGTGTAGTGGGGTCTGTGTTCTGCAGCATTTGTGGAGTTGTGCCAGCGTGGTGGCTGCTTCGTATGATTAGCATGCAAGCGGGTGTTCCAAGGTGCTGGAGCCTGTGCTTGCTGGGCAGGGATGCGCAGCAGCTTTGGGCAGCTGCTGCAAGGCTGGAAACAGGAGTTGAGCACAGGGTCTGCAGCAGAGCCAGAGCCCTGCACAGTTGTGCCCACACGGGCACTCATACCAACGCTTCTGTTTCTCCCAGCCCGTGCCTGACATCACCAGGCGCCTCCGTGCGAACACAATGGAGGCTCCCAGCAGGACCACCACCAGCCCAACCCGCAGGGTGCAGACCATCATCCAGGTGAGGCTCAGGGCTGCGGCAGGCAGGGCGAGTCGTGCCCACCAGCACTGCCCCAGTGTGTGGCAGGGTCCTGCCTTGGTGGTAGAGAATGCAGGGAAGGGTGAAAAATTCTGGCTGCAGCAATACTGAACGTCTGTGGGAGCATGGAAGTGCAGCAAGGAGCCCTTCTCCTCCGTACCAGCCCTGCTGCAATGCTCTCGTCACCCACTCCTCATCCCAATCCTATTACAGGATCGGCAGTAAAGCCAATTGAGCTAAGTGGCTGCTGCCTCGGATCCTCTTAGAAACAGCCCAAGCTTCGGGGATCTTCCCTGCGGGACCTGACCTGGGCACACTCCTGCTGCAGCTCCCCAGGGCTGGCAGCATGGGAGGGAAGGAGTCCTGGGCTGTCTGCATCCTCCTGTTTGCCCTGCCTGGCCTCCACCCCTCAGTCTGCATGACCATACACACACAGGCACATGGGTGCTTGCAGGAGAGGTGCTGCACAGAGCAGCCCAGAGCAGGCAGCACAAAGGAGCAGGCTGCTGCCACAGGTGCTATGTGCACCCCTCCCTTCTCATCCTGTGGCGTGGAAAGATAAGGAGCCTGTAAATATTTATGACCTGTTAGTACGGGGCACAGCAGGAACAGAGGCAGCTTCTGTCTCTGCTTGCTCCAGGAAGGGCCCAGCAGGACACTTGTGAGGGCTGCCCCTGCTCACAGCGCTGCACAGCACTGACCCATCCTGCTCTGACCCTTGCAGAACAGCCCCCTGGACCTGATAGACACAGGCAAAGGGCTGAAGGTGCAGACAGAGAAGCCGCATTTGGTGAGCCTGGGCAGCGGCCGCCTCAGCACTGCTATCACACTGCTGCCGCTGGAGGAAGGTGAGTGCTGACTGCTGGAGCATCCCCACCTTTGGGTGCACCCCAATCCAGGCAGCTGCTTCTTGCCTGGGGTGGCTCCTGGAGGATCGCTGTGAGCATGGCTGGGAACCCATCTCACCACACGACAGTGGGGATGCTCAGTCTCTCTCTCTGCAGGGAGGACCACAATTGGCACGGCTGCAAAGGACATCGTCCTGCAGGGCCCTGGCCTGGCACCCGAGCACTGCTACATCGAGAACGTGCGAGGGACGCTCACCCTGCACCCCTGCAACAATGCCTGCACCATCGACGGTGTGATGATCCAGCGGCCCACACGCCTCACTCAAGGTAGGGCTGTGGATAGATCCCTGTTAGCAGATCCTGGGCAGGATCCGGCCGTCCTGGACACGGCCGTGCCGTCAGATAGCACACACGTCTCCAGAACCATCCTGCCACTGCCTGTCCTGCGTCCGCAGCTCCTGGCTGGAGGTGTGGCACATTTCAGGGGTTGTCTTGGCTCCGAAGAAAACCATCTCAAGACCTGTTGCTGACGTCTGCGAGGAGCAGAGGGCCCGGGTTCTCAGACGGCCCTGTGTGACTGTAGGGGCTTGGACCCCATCGTCCCTCCACAGCCACCCCGTGAGCGTGGGGGGAGCTCAGGGCGGTCCCCGGGAGAGGAGCGGGGACCCCAAGCGGCCACGACCGCGGGCAGCGCCGAGACGCAGAGCGCAGCGGGTGGCTTCCTCACGGCCGCTCTCACATTTTCCGTGCCTGCCCATTTTGTCCGTGAATCACTCTTTCTGGTCCCGGGGTCCCCACGCTGCCGCGCCGGGAGCGCCGTCCGTGCCCCGCGGAGCCGCCCCGCCCGTGCGGCTCCTCCCCGGGGCGGTCCGGTGCGCGGCTCCCGCTGCCCGGGCGGCGGCTGCGGCCAGCGGGCGGCTCGGGCTCGGTGAGTGCGGCGCGGTGCGGCGGTGGGGGGCGACGGCCACGCGTATCCGTGCCCGGAGGGGCGGGGGGTGCAGCGAGGAGGGCGCCGGGAGGGGCGGAGGGAACCGCGCCGGTTCTGGGCTTTGTTTGGCGGCCCCGGGCTGCCGGCGCCCCGCGGAGCTGCCGCCCGTCGCCTCGCGGCCAGCGCCGTCTCGCTCGTTTATCGTCCTCCATCTGTCTGCATCGGTCTGTCGGGCCCGGGCCGTGGGGAGAGGGCGATGCTGAGCTGTCACCGGGTCGGGCTTCGGGCGCCGCGCCTCCGCGGGCAGCCGGGGCGGGGGCTCCGGGCGGGGGTCGGCTCCGGGCAGCCCGGCCCCTCCGACAGCGGTGGCTGCTTTCAGACTCTCTTCATCCGCCATTTCATTCATCGCCCGCGGTGTCGGGTTGCGCCGGAGTTAGAAATCCGGATCCTGCGCTCCTTTGACAGCCTCTCATTAGCGACGGTGATTTATCCGAGGCGCTCCAGGGGCGGGGAAGCCGCACAAAGGCCTGGGAGCCGCGGGCCGGGGGGGCTCCCGCACTGCCGGGCGGGGAGGGGCGGCTGGCGGCGGGGCTCGGCCGGTGCGGAGCCCCTCGGAGCCGGGCGGGGGCCGTTCGGCCCCGCTGCTGCTGCAGAGTGAAGATGTTCCTCGCATCTTCCCTCGTACCCCCCGCAGAAGGCGGCTGGGTGCTTCGGGGGGACCGCGTGCTGCAGCGGGTCACCCAAGGGAACAATGAGAGCCGCGTGAGTGGAGGAGAAAAGGACCCGATGGGCGATGGGTGCGGGTGCGGTTGACATCCCCGTGTCCACACTTTCTGAACAGCACATACAGCTCCTTCGGGGTGGGCACAGAGGGGTCGCGGAGCAGGAGGTTGGTGGCCACTGCTCTGGGAAGAGCAGCTCCTGGAAAAGCATGGGTCTGTTAGACCCATCTGCACGGGGACACATCGATGTGCTGAGAGGCTCTGCCAGCTGAACCCAACACGTGCAGGACTTCTCTTAACCTGGTGCAATCTGTGTTGCCTGGAGTTGATCTGTGTGTTGGTGTCACACAGGGCTGCTCTTTGCCAGCTCCCTGGTGGGACCTGGAGTCGGCACGTGCTCTCCTGTTATTTCTGCTCCACCAAAGCTGGCATAGGGTGATCTCTGTACATGCTCCCCCACTCCCCGCTGCCTGCCTGGGGATTTCCCAGCCCAGCTCCCTCCATCCGGACCCACCTGCTCTGCTGGGGCTGAGGCTGGGGCTGCACTTGGGTTGCACGCTGCCAGCTCAGCTGCTCCAAAAAATGCATCCCTTCCAGCAAGGGATTTTCAGCTGACAGCGAGCAGTGAGCCTCTCCCTGGGGCCCTGGAGGCGCTTCAAAGTGGGGTGTGTCGGCAACACGGCTGCCAGGAAGGAGCCTCGCACCGCCGGCGTGGTGCTGGCTGCCAGCAGCCCCGTGGGGAAGGCTGTGTGCTACCTGCTCCCAGCACCCTGCGCTTGCTGCACGTGTGGGACTTTGGCACCGTGGCTTCCGGATGCTGTTGTCTTCACACACCGGTGTGTGTGAAGAGTCGCCTTTTACAGCCCTTGCAGGGCGGGTGCGGGCAGCACTTTCCTCTGCTGCACATTGAGCTGCATCCAGGTGGTGGCGGAGCAGTGAATGCAGCTCTCAGTGGGGCTGCTGCCCTCCCTGTGCCACCCGGCCCTACTGCCCTGCCGGTCCCCCAGCGTGCAGCCGTGCAAGGAGCGACACGCAGCGTCTGAGCCGCCTGCGCTCAGCAGGGACCATCTGCAGCCTCTGCTGCTGTTCCCTGGGGCTGGCGCAGCCTGGCTCCCGTCCCTGCATTCCTCCCCGATGGCGAATCGGCAGCCTTCCCTGCAAAGGCTCCGGGTTTGGGCCAAGAAGCGGCATTCTCCTACAGCGGACAGGAGCTGTCTTGTCTGCAGCTGGCGGCGGCACTGGAGTGCTGCCAGCCCTGCTCTGTGCGTGGCCCCAGCTGTGCGGGATGCACCCGGCTGTGGGGATGGTGGGCAGTGACCTGGATTCCAGCCGTGCCCCCCCACCCCGGTGCTGAACCCCCTCTCTCCCCAGGGTGCACCATCTGCCTGGGCCAGGCGACCTTCCTCCGCTTCAACCACCCCGCTGAAGCCAAGTGGATGAAGAGCATGATCCCAGCAGGAGGAAGGAGCCCCGCGGCTCTTTATGGACTGCCAGCAAGTAGGTGGCCCTTCTTCATCCTGGTGGGGCTGTGGGGATGTTAGGAGTCTCCTTGTTTGGAGTTCTCCTGGGTACGGGTGGGAGCATAGGGCTGTGCAAGGTCATAACAGTGAGATCTGGACTCCTGTGATGCCCATTCATGGATGCTCTGTGGTGCCTTCATTGGCTGATGACTCAGCCTGGTGGCTGTGCTGATGTCTGTTAATTATTAATGGTGCCTGGGAAGAGTGTAACAGGTTTCTGCCCAACCCAAGCCCCCTGTTGTGTGTGGGTCTGGGGGCTGTGCTGCTACTGGGGCAGAGCTCTCAGTCCTCGCTCAGCCCAGGAGCGTAGGGCTGTTGGGTGCATGCAGGCCCCCCTGCTGCCTGAGAGCTGCTGTTTACATGTAGGGCTGGCTACAAGGAGGCTGTGAAGGCCGTTTCCCTGGCTGCAGCACTTAATTGAAGCAGCTGCTTATCTCGCTGTGTCTGTCTGTAAGGCACGAGGTCCCTGCCTCCAGCCTGGCTCCAGGGAGGGGGATGAGACAGGCGCTGTGCTGATCCAGGCTGGCAGCTCCCACGTGCCATCCACACTGTCTCCATGGCTGTGCATCCCTGAGCAGGACACAGCTGGAGCTTTCAGCAGCACTGTTTGCTGCTGTCTGGCTCTCAGTGTGGTCCCTCCCCACTGAGGAGGTGGCAGGGACCTGCTTGATGCTGGGACAGCCCCTGCCCTTTCCCAGTGGCAGCTGGTGCCAGGCACAGGATGCTGTGGGTACTGGAAGTCACCAGACACTGGTGCTTGTTGGGTCTGTGCAGCTGCACCCTGCTTATTATCACCAGGGCAGGATGCTGTGAACTCATGGTGTGATTTGTGCCATGTGCACAGTGCTGAGGGCCGGGAAAACATCAGGTTCTACAGCTGGGAACGGGGAGTAAGAACCTGAGGAGGTGCTGTGTCCCCTGAGCAACCTGCAGCTGCCCACAGCTGCTGCCCTTCTGGTCCCTGGTTGTATCTCTGTCCCTGTGATATCAGGCAGGACTGCGTGTGCAGAGATGATGCCTGCTGCTCTGGGTCCCACCTGGGCCGTGGGACTGATGGTGTCTCTCTCAGCAGGGATGCACTCCTGGTGCGCATGAAGCAGGGGTCAGGTCAGTGTCAGGCCTCATGCTGGTGTTTGCTGCTGCCTATCTATTTTGCTGTGGCAGCTCAAGATCTACCAATGTGGTGCTGCCCCATGCCAGTGTGGTGACACTGTCCAGGAGCAGCCACTGCTGTTATTAGCATGTCCTTTGAGTGACAGGCACATCGGTGGCACGCAGAGCTGTGTCCAGACACACCACGGCCTCGGGCCGGGCTCAGGCAGGAAGGCTGCATGCCAGCATGCCTGTGCCCTCCTGGCTGGCTGTGCACGGTATGATTTTGCAAGCAGGAGCCTTGCACTGTGGGGAGGGAGAGTTTAATGGAAGTGAACTGAGCTTTGGTCTGCCAGCTGGGTGCCAGCCTCAATCTCCTGCCCCATCAGTGTGCTCTCTGCAAGCCCTGCAAGGCAGTGTGGAGCAGAGCTGGGCTGGGTGAGGGGCTGCCTGCAGAGCTGCGCTGCTCAGAAGCTGCAGGAGCAGGGCAGCACGGTGCCCCTGCCCGCTCTGACTTCCACTCCCACGTCTGCCCGCAGAGCCCGAAGCCCTGGTGAATGGCAGCCGCCAGCTGCCGGCACGGGAGCCCAGCCACAACTCCCTGGTGAGCTCCATCGAGAAGGACTTGCAGGACATCATGGACTCGCTGGTGCTGGAGGATCCGGCGTCCCCCAGCAAGAAGCCGCCGTCCCGCGGGCAGTCCCCGCTCTGCGCCATGGTGAACGGGGGTGGGCGCTGCCTCCTGTCCCCTCCGCTGAGCCCCGGTGCCGCCTCGGGGGGCTCCAGCTACGAGAACGCCTCGCCGCCCTTCTCCCCGCTCTCCTCGCCCGCCAGCAGCGGCGGCTACACGAGCCACTCGCCCAGCAGCCAGGAGCAGGGCCCGGCCGTGCCCCCCGTCGTGCCGCTCCGCTCCTCCAGCTACAACCACGCCGTGCAGCCCCCCCCCCGCAGCGCCCACCACCGCCACCCTACGGGGGCCCCAATGACACTCGGTCGGCGGAGAGCCCCCGCGCCTGGCGGGGTGCCCTGGACAGCCCGGCGGTCCCACACCCACTCCAGGAGCACAGGGCGGGCAGTCCTCGTTCCCAGCCGCCCGGCAGTCCCCGGGCTGCCCCCCGGACATTGGGCTCCTCGGTGCCGCGGGTTCGGGCAGCCCTGCAGGAGCGGCCGCCCAGCCCTTTCCGAGAGCCGAGGGACCCTCCCGCTCCCGGCCGGCAGCCCGCACCCAGGCTTCTCCCGGACGCCGTGGGACCGGCGCACGGCAGCCAGAGTGGCCGTGGGCTGCAGCCCCCCGAGAGCCCGCGGGCTGCCCGGAGGAACGTGGAGAGCATGCGGGAGCTGCCGCCCCTCAGCCCGTCCTTATCGCGCCGAGCCGCCAGCCCCCGGGCGGCCCTGGATGCCCCGTCCCCTCAGCCCCGGCTGGGCAGGGAGGTCCCTGGAAGCCCCCGAACCAGGCGCAAGGGCCACGAGGAGCCGAGCCCCGCGGGCGGGAGGAGCAGCAGGGCCGGGAGCCCCTCGTCCCCGCTGTCGACGGAGCCGTCCGCACGCCGGCCCAGCTTCAGCTCCTGCCTCAGCCCCGCACACAGCCTGAGCTCCCTGGCCGTGCCTTCGCCCAGGCAGAGCCCCCGCGCCCAGAGGAAGCTGTCGGGGGACATGCGGCTGCCGGCGGGCGTGCGGGAGCGTAAGAACAGCATCACCGAGATCAGCGACAACGAGGACGATCTGCTGGAGTACCACCGGCGGCAGCGCGAGGAGCGGATGCGGGAGCAGGAGATGGAGCGCCTGGTGAGCCGAGGGGCGCGGGGGGCTGCTGGCTGTGGGAGGGGGTCCTGGCCCGGATTTGGCAACTGGAGCCGAGGCTTGCAGGGGCCGGGGGCAGTCCTGGCGAGTGCGAGGTGGCCTCTTTGCAAATGGCTTTGAGCTTCTGTTGTTTTCAAAATGTAGGCCTTTTCTCTCGGGGATTTTGCTGACGGCAGCTTATGAATGATGTGAACAGGCTCCTAGGCTCGAGCTTATCCGGAGAGATTATGGCCTGGAGTGGCAGTTGGTGCCCCTGGTGTGCGGGGAACTGCTGCCTCGCACCAAGCCCCTCTGCTTGCAGCAGCCAGGGAAATCTGCAGACTCAGCCTGGGGCAGTGCTGTTCTGATGTTCACGGCTGCCTTCGGTTGTGGATGTGTAATTTTTAGTGCCCCTGGGTTTGCAAAGTGAGGCATGCCTTGCCAGGGCTGCGGCTCGGCAGGGACACGGTGGCTGCCTGTGCTTGGTGTGCAGATGCTGTTCCCGGCTGCCGACTGCTGGGAGGCTCTGTGGGCATTGCATCTCTATATTTAGGGACTGGGATAGAGTTTTTATAGAGCGAGCAGCTGCCTGGGTGGGGCTTGCCCTGTGCATCTGTCTCTCCCTGCTGCCTAGTGGATTGCTGGGAGCAGCCAGGGACTGTGGGGGCAGCTGGGCCAGGGGAATGCTCCTTGGGGCCAGGGCAGCACAGCTTGGCCCTGGCTCACCCTGATGGGCTGTGGAGTGCAGGAGATACGTGTGTGTCCCCACCGGCATTGCACCCAGTGCTGGCCAAGGCTGGTGTGGGGTACCGCCTGTGTTTCCCCAGGGAGGGCCCTGGGCTGATGGTTTGGCACAGCCCGCACCCTTGAGGATTTGAGATGCCCTGCAGATGCCCTAGCTGTGTTCACCTCCCCAGGTGCCATCCAGAACCCTGCTGGGTGCTTCCTGCCCTCTGCCCATCCCCATATTGTGGCATGGGCAGCAGAAGCCCTGTTTACTCAGTCCTGAGTCACGGCAGGCAGACAGCCTGAATCACCACCTACAAATAGCCCCTTACAGAGGCAGCACGGCGTTCAGCCGGGGCTGCTGTCTGTAATTAGTCTGTCTCCAGCCCTGGGCATGCCACATGCACTGCGGGCCGATGCTCTGACTGCTGCCCAGGGCTGGTTGAGTGCACTGGGCTGGGGCATGGAGCAGCGCAGCCCCCGGTGTGCAGAGTGCTGGAAGTCCATCAGGGCAGCTGGGACCTTCCAGACACGGGCGATGTGCCCAGAGCTGGAGGAAGCGCTTCCTGTGTGTGGAGGTGGTGATGATCCGGGGTGCGTGGGAGTGGGACACGCAGGGCAGGGTGACACAGGGGATGCTGGATGCTGCTGGGAAACAGGGAAGTGCCCCAAGTCCTGCTGCTGTGGCTGTGGTGAGCTGCTGGCAGCCAACGTTCCCCAAGAAACAGTTTTCCTTCCTCAATGTGAGGATGTTGGTTCTGGCACGTCACGCTGTGGTCTGTGTGTATGGGCACTGCTGCCAGATGGGCACTGCGTCCCCTCCCTGGGCACAGCAGTGATCCCTGTGCCCCACAGCAATGCAGGCAGCCATGCTGGTGAGGGACGTTTGTGGGCACTGGGATGGGTGCTGCAGGTCTGCTCTGACCAAACCTCCCTGCAGGAGCGGCAGCGCCTGGAGACCATCCTGAACCTCTGTGCTGAGTACACCAAGACAGACGGCTCTGAGCTGCTGCCTGGTCATACGGATGCTGGCCGGCGGGCACCAAGGGGCACAGCAGGGCTGGGCCGTGCTGCAGAGGAGCTGGGTGTGCTGCGGCAGAGGGAGAGCCTGGAGAGGTCGGATGAAGAGAACCTGAAGGAAGAGTGCAGCAGCACCGAGAGCACACACCACGAGGTGAGGGGATGGGGATGTCCGGGCTGAGCCGTTCCGTGCTGTGCTGTGCTGACCTGCTCCCTCTGCAGCACGAGGAACTGGCGGGCCCACGCGCCAAGGAGGCACAGCGGCTGGAAGAGGAGCGAGCCTGCGTGTTCGGCCGCCTGGATGAGCTGAAAGGCCGTGTCAAGGAGCTGGAGCAGCAGCTGCAGGAGACATCGCGAGAGGTGAGAGTCTGGGCAGCACCCACATGGGCACTGGGTAGCGGATTGGGCTGGAGCGGCCATGCTGACACAGCTGTGTCACCCCAGGCAGAGATGGAGAGGGCACTGCTGCAGGGCGAGCGGGAGTCAGAGGTGGCACGGCTGCAGCAGGAGCAGGAGGTGGTGCAGCAGCTGCAGGAGAAGCTCTCCGGCCTGGACGCCAGCATCCGGAAGGAGCGGGACAAGGTGAGCCCCGAGGCACGGCTGTCCCCTTGGGGCTGTGACATGCTGTCCCCTGCCCTGGTGCCCACATTCAGGGATGACGCTGGTGGGGTTCTCCCGTGCTGGAACATGTGGCTGGATTCTGCAGAGGCATTCGGTGACAGCTGCTGTGTCAGCTCCATGAGGTCTTCCCAGGTGTCTTCATGTGCAATGGGAGCACCAGTGTTTGTGCAGAGAGGGAGGAAGAGGAATGGGCGAGCAAGCTGGGCAGTGCCTTTCTCTCTCCTCTCTCTGTGTTCACATTGTGCCGGGCTCTGTCTGTCTGTCTGCTTGGTATCGGCGTGGTGTCCCTCAGCCCTGCCAGAGGAGGGCAGAGGCAGATGCTGGGGATGTGCTGTCAGTCTCGCTGTCAGGCTCGGTGCTGCAGGGCTGCCCCAGCACTGACCATGAGGCCTCAGCACTGCCTAGCTCACAGCCTTCCTGCAAGCTGAGGTTTGCAGCAGGCCCACTGGCTCTGCTGCCCACGGGGATGCTTTGGTCACACACAGTGCTGGTGACTGCTTGAGCATCTGCAATGCTAGAGGTGGCTGGGTTGCTCTCTTCTGAGCATTTTGCAGCTTTGGCCAGGAGCTCCCTGAAGGATGCTGAGCAGCAGCTCCGGGCTGCAAGGTGTGCTCCTGCTGCTCCTTCCTGGGCCTGGATTCTTTTTGCAGTCCTGGTGGGAGGGCAGACCACGTCTCGCCTCCCTGCGATTGGTCTCAGGCTGTGAGACCCTGACGTGCATTGCTCAGTGCCTGTGTGCAACTGGGGCCGTGTGGGGCTGAGCTGCCACCAGCACACCCAGCAGCACTGCTGCAGTGCTGGGGATTTGTGGTTTGTTTTTGATTTTCTGACGGTTTGCAGGCGTTTTCTCTAGTGAAAGACTGCGTTGTGCAGTGCTAGGAGAGGAGCAAAAAGAAGCCTCATTCCCAGAGTCTCAGTTGACTTAACCACCTGCTTTCCTATTCAGTCTGCACTAACTGGCTCTAACAGTGGCTGCTCTGAGCTCTGTCACTAACCTCTGACACCTCTGCTCTCCCCACTCACAGCCAGGTCTGGAGCGTGGGGCAGCAGCACGTCCCATCCACCTCTGCATCCTCTGTCCACTTTGCCCCCACATCTGTGCCCAGGAGGGAGGGATGGCCTCGGCTCACTGTGCTCCTGTGCTGGAGGGAGCAGGAATCAGCTCCCCAAGCGGGTGGGGAGATCCTGCACCACTCCAGGGATGTGTCTTCAGTGCCAAGTGGGAAAAGGGCAGGGGCAGCTGTGGGACATGCTGGTGCCACCAGAGCCATTGCCACTGAGATGTGGCTGCTTTGGTTTGCAAGGACAGTCCTCAGAGGGGGACGATGTAGGCACATACACAGACAACACAGTGCTGTTACCTGAATGCTGAGCAGCAGCAAATCCAGTAGAAGCCCAAGTGAACAAAGGTGCTTGTGAGACAAGACCTTGAGGCAAAATACTCATGGACAAGATTCCTTCCCAGGATTGCAGGAATTTTCAGGATTTCTAAGTAATGTTCCAGCAAGGATGGGGCTTTCCTTGTTTGAGCAATGCACAAAAATGCAGCAGTGCACAGTCTGATGTGCCAGGGGGTTGTCCTGGCAGAAAGCCTGCAGGCAGAGAGCTGGGATTCCCAGTCCTTTTTGTGCTCCCTGCTTTCAGCAGCTCAGACTGGGGTTACATGTGGTGCCCTGCCAGCTGGGTGTCTCTGGCTGCACGGACTGTGGACAGAAACAAGCATTTGTTGTGCATCTGCCCTGCCACTAACGTGCTGAAGAACAGCCCAAGCAGCTCCACAAGGACAGCACAGACTTTGGTCTCCTATTGCCCACCAGGCAGCCACGCTGCTGCAGAGATGCACAGCAGCCACATCGCCACCGCATTGGAGCTGCTCTGGCTGCCAGCAGCATTCTGGGTTTTGGGCACATTAACAGAAGGCTCTGGTGGTGGTTGTGAGGATGGCTGTGTGGTAAAGCAAGGGCCTCTGGCAGCTCCTGGAGTCCTTTGATGGCAATGTGCAGGATTAGGATGACTTAACCCAAGTTGCAAAGCCAGGTCAACATTGATCTTTCCACTGTCCTTAAGTCTTTGGCACGGAAACATGAGACAGAGGTCCAGGGCTGGTCATAACCTCTGTAACACTGCCCAGCCCAGGGTTCTCACAGCTTTTGCTCTCTCAGTCTCTTGGTAAATGCCCCTCTCTGGCTGACCCCTGTCTAATCCTGCAGCTTCTGCATGGCGTGGATTTGAGAAGTGTGTTTTCTCTCTTTTTTTTTTTTTGTTTCCCTTTTCTGTTTTTTTTTTTTTTTTTGTTTTGTTTTGTTTTGTTTTCGTTCTGTTTTGTTCTCCCCTAATTTAGGAAAGGGCAAAGATTGATGCTGAAAGGAAGGAGCTAGAGAAACTCCGGGCGCTTTACAATGAGTCGAAGAGCCACCTTGATAACTGCCCTGAGTCAATGCGGGAGCAGTTGCGGGAGCAGATGCGAAGGGTCAGTGTCTCACCCCCACCCCTCCTGGACCATGGCCCACCTCCCTCCGCTCCAGCTTAGGCCAGCTCTTCCCTGGCAGCTGGGGCCGCACTGAGAGCATCGCAGCCGGGCCGGAGGAGGCTGGCGCCGTGTTGGTAAGCTTGCTGCTCACCCGGCCCCATGGCACGGTGCTGGCTCCGGACCGGGCAGGGCACGAGCACAGATCTGCCCCAAGTGTGCTGAGGAGGAGCCGTGTGCCCCGCAGCACAGCCCCACGTTGAGCGTGGTGTCCTCTGCTGGGGTCCTTCTTGACCCCGTGCAATGGGATCCGCCCCACACGTGGGCTCACAGAGCCGGGCTGTGCCCTGCCCGCCTGCCCACGAGCTGCAGTGCTCTGTGTCCAGATGCTGAGCATCTCTGAGGTGTGGAGGCGTCGCTGTGTCCGTGTGTCCGGCTGGGCACTGCCTGTGGAAGTTGGTCCCTGTTCTCCCAGGGTGCCGTCCCCAGGCTGCCTCTCGAGAGGGGAGCGCCAGGGAGCTCCGTGTCCCTGTGTGTGTGTGCTTCCAGCTATTTCCTGCGAGTGTTTATTTACACAGCACTGTCAGTTTATGTTAGCATCGGTCTGCAGCATTTTTTCCCATTATCTGGTATTTTCTGGTAGCTGCTGGCTCTCCTCAGTCTGTGGCTGGAGCAGCCCTCGCTGCACAGCTCTAGCACACAACTGCTTGCGTCCCCTTTCCAGGCTGGTGGTGGATGCTCCTGCATTTGACATGGGTCTGGGTGATAGCAGGTGCTGCCCGCAGAATGTGATGGGATGCTCAGGGATGCTCAGTGGTCCTGGTGTGCAGGAGCCCCGGCAGCTGCCCTGCGTGCACTGCACTCTATGTGGCCACGGAGTGGTGGTGGTCCCTTTCCTGGGGCATGGGAAGTGTGTTCTTGCAGTGAGGGCTCTGCCAGGACGGTGTTTGCAGACACTGAGTTGAGTGCCAGCATCCCAGGATGCCATATTATTTGAAGGCTGGGGGGCCAAGGGCATTTGTCTGTTGTAGTGCTGGTCTGTGGTGGATTTGCCATCAGCTTGGTGACATGGGTGCTTGCCATGCTCCCTGCGTGCTGCTTGGCAATGGTGATGCTGCTAGCACAGGGCATTTTCTGGCTCTGCAGCCTGGCAGAGCGTCACCATAGGCTGGATGGAATCAGGTGGGAGCAGCTGATCTGGATGCAGCTCCCAGCCATTGCGAGAAGCTCATCCCATGGGATCTGTGCCCAGTGCCTCCTCCACCACCTTTGCACTGAGGCAAGGGAGTGAGTGGCCACCCCATTGTGTGTCTGAAGGAAGCAGAGGCCCTGGAGACGGAAACCAAGCTCTTTGAGGACCTGGAGTTCCAGCAGCTGGAAAGGGAGAGCCGGCTGGAAGAGGAGCGTGAGACGCGGAGCCAGCAGCTCCTGCAGAGCAGGGCTGAGTACCACCGCAGCATCGCCCGCAGGAAGGTAGGGACACAGGGCAGCAGTCCCTTGTGAGTTGCTCCTCAGCACTCATGTTCCCAGCACCCCATGTCCGCAGCACCCCATGTCCCCAGCCCAGCCACATTGCCAAGCTTCCCCTACGGCCAGCTCAGCCCTTGCCCATCCCCAGGAGCGGGTGGCTGCACTGGATGCTCAGGCTGCCCAGATCCGGCTGCAAAGTGCCCAGGAGGCTGAACGCCTGGCCCAGGAGAGGAACGATGTCCTGCGGCTCCTCCAGAAGGTAAGGCTTACATCTAGGGCCAGAGGGTTGTCACACACTCCCTGGTCCTGCATGCTTGCATCATGGGTGCCTGAGCGTGCAAAATGCTCCCAGGGGGTCACAGGTCACTGCAGCATCCCACCTTGCGGATGTTGCTGATTAGGCTGAGAGGGGATCCTGCCTCCTCTTGCAGCAGGGGTTGGCTGTTAGGGTGTGAGATGGGGCCTGGCCACCACATGATGATAACCTTCCTCCTCTCTCTGCTCTTGTTGTTGTGTGCTCAGGAGAAGGAGAAGCTTGCATCTCTGGAGAGACGGTACCAGCTTGTCACAGGTGGCAGGAGCTTCCCAAAGATGTCCTCAGCTCTCAAAGAGGTAAGTGGGGAGATGGGGCACTGTCCTGAGAGCTGCTCTCCTGTGTGCTGGGCTGTTCCCATCCCCAGGGACAAGACTGGAGCACTGCAGTTTATGTCTGCAGCAGTTCCTCTGCTTCCCAGTGCCATCTGTCTAAAGCTGGGCACTTGCACTACTCCAGGCTTGTCTGTGGGCTGCAGGGACTGACATCAAGTTGGGAGGGAGGGAAATGCAACATAAGTGGGCTTGGGAGCAGCAGCATCTCCCGTGTCAGGCTGCTGGGATGCTGCAGGAGCCTGGGCAGACTGCAGGAGCCCTGTGCCAGCCCGTGTTGTTAGTGGGTGGCATGGCGGGGTGCCCTCAGGAGAGGGGATAGCACAGCTGCAGAGCACTTTCCAGTCTGGCTCTGACCAAGCTGGGGCTGCAGTGCTTCCCAGCCTGCTCCTGGATGGCGGGGTGCCCTCGTGCCTCAATGTCCTGCTGCCTACCTGGGCATGTGGACTGCTGCTGCTGCTATGACCCTTCTGCCTCTGCGTGCCTCGCCTATGTGATCTTTGCCTTCCCACAGGAAACCCTCCATATTTCAGAGCCTTATGAGCTGCTGGAGGGAACTAAGCCCCTGAGTCCCCCACTAGGAGCAGCTGCCTCCTTAGCTTCTCCTTCTGCCCACTCCTACCCCAAGATGCAAGAGGTAATGGCACTAACTGCATGTGCTTGCGTGCTTGCCCTATGCAGGGCGGGCTGAGCCTGTGTATGGATATCCTTGCTGGCAATGGGGTGGGTGCCAGACCCTAATGATGCCTTGAGGCAGCATGTCACACCCTGTAGCAGCAAGCTGAGGCAGTGCAGACAGGTTCTTCCCCATTTAGCTATCTGACACTTGAGCTTGGTAACACCAGCTGCCTGTCCCTGCCATGCTCCTCCTGCTCCGGGCTGTACCCAGCTCGGCTGGTGCTGAGCTGCTGCCATCTGCTTTAATCCTGGTGCAGTGTGGATGCCCCACATTTCACCTTTGCTTAGCACTGGCTGAGGAACTGCCTTCCTGCAGTGGTGCTGGGGCAGCTTGAGGCACCTCCTATTGCCATGGTGCCATCTTGCCATGGATGGCTTGTGCCTGGGGACCTTGGCGACTCCTGGCTCAGGCTGATGGAGCCGTGGCAGTACAGGCTGGAGTCTTCTGTCTCTAGCGTGTGGTGATGCTGCATTTAAAGCAGCAGAAAGGCATCGTGCTGGGACTCCCAGCCCTGCTTTCAGGTAGCTGCAGAAGGGGACAATAGCAAGCAGGGAATGGTTCAGCTGGCAGTGGTGGGCCGCGTGTGTGCATGGGGAGGTTTGCTCCTGTTTTGAGGTCAATGCCATGAGGCTAGCACATAGGTCTAACTCTCCTCCTTCTCCGCCGTGGATTTCTAGGAGTACATGAGGCTGTCTGACGTTTTCAGGTTCTACAGCAATGCATACGGCTCCAGCCTGGACACTAAAGCTTCTGCTGCTGCTCCCGCTGCTGCTCAACACTCTTTCTTGCTTGCTGTGCCCCCTGCAGCCAACGAGGTACCTGCCCTAGAGCATGCTCGGGTTGCCTGCCTGGGGCTGTGGTGGGCTGGCCATGTGGCCGCCTCCTGCGCCCAGTGCTCAGAGCTCACCTCTTCCCTAGGCTGGGCAATTTCTTTTGCTGCAGCTGAGCAGGGAGGAGCGGTGGGAGCAACCCAGCCTTGCTAGGGAGCGCTTCTTGTCTGCTCTGTGCAGGGTTCGCCCTCTGAGTGCTGGAGCAGAGCTCAGGAGCAGAGCAGGGAGCAGGTAGATCAATGTGGCAGCCCTTTGCCTTTTGGCTCTGGGGATCTCTCAGGCTGTGGTCACTGCACCTATGCAGGGAGGATACGGAGCAGGGGGGAGCAGAGCTTTGTCCATGCTGCATGCTGCCTGGGCTGGGGGCATGATGAGGGAATGGAGAAAGGATGTCTGAGGTCCATGCTCTGCGCTCTGCAGCATCAGCGTCACCACATGCTGCCCTTTCTCCTGGGGATGCTGATACCTTTTCTGAGGGCTTCTCCCCATCGCTGTTTGCTTGCTCCTCTGTACCTATCTCTGCCTGGCTGTCCTGGCCCACAGCCCTTCTTCACAGCTCACTTTGCTTCTCTCTGCCCAGTACGTGACCATTGAGCAGCTCTCAGGGATCCTGGGCAGTGTCAGTGCCCCTGCTGGTTCCCCACTGGGCCGTGCCCCTCCAGCTTCTTCATCCTCAGGCTGCACTCCTCTTCCTCCTTCTCTGCCGGCTCTCTCTTCTCCCTCCATCTCCGCAGAGGTTTGTGTCCCATTTCCCTCCCTATATCCCCAAGCATTCCCTGGGCAGAGAGAGGTGCTAGCAGGCTGAGGGGCACATACAGAAAGGGATGAGGTGCCCAGGGTGCTGCTGAAACAGCCCAAACAACACCATGAGCTGCAGCCCCACTGCTGCCTTTGCTGTTCTGCTACCTGTGTGGCAGCAACCCGAGCTCTGCCTGGCACGTGCTGGGCTGCTGATGAGCAGGGGTGTCCTGGAGCTTCTAGAGCTTATCCAGTGGTCACCAGGGTCCCTGGGGTCTGTACCTCGCCTGCCATGCCCCTGCTACCTGGGGCCAAGCACCACACAGGGCAGTGATGCTCTGATCTCTCACTCTTTTTGTGTCTCTGTCTTTGTGTTTCTGTCTGTCCCTCCTATCTCACGCGGTGTCTCTTCAGATGGAGAAGCAGCTTCCAGGGGGCCCACTATGGCTCCCGGCTCTTGATTTAGAGAAGTGGTACCAGGAGGTCATGGCTGGCTTTGAGACCTCATCTCCTGTCTCTCCTCCTTCTTCCCCTCCTCCACTTCCAGCTAAAGCTTACTCTTCTCAAAAGCCTCTCCAGGTAATGCCCTGCTCCCCCTGCAGCTGCATGGGGCTACAACTCAGGCCTTGGGGATCGTATGGTGCCACTGTGCTGGGGGAGGCTTATGGGCCAGGGGAGCTGGCAGGTGCTCAGCTGGATACTGGAGCCTGCAGCAGTGTGGGACCACTCCCTCCAGCACCACTCTGTGCTGGTGCGTCAGCTGTCACCATGGCGAGGGCACTGTCAGGATGTGCAGCGTGCACAGGGCAGGAGTGGTGTGGGAGCTGGTACCGATGTTGGAGCTGAAGCTCTCAGCCCGATGTGGGAATTTTCAGCCTCTTTCCTTTCTCACCTCTGCATCTTTGTGCCCAGGTCTATCGTGCCAAAATGGAGGGTGACACTGGTGCCCTCACCCCTCGGATGAAGAGTGGCACCCCGTCATCCTCACAGCTCAACATCTCCGTGCTGGGCCGCAGCCCCTCACCCAAGGTACGGCCATGGTGGGAGCTGTGCCCCATGCAGGGCTGCTGCTGCCCGACACCAGCCCCATCCTGAGTGCACAGGGTGGTGCTTAAAACATGCTGTATTGCCCTAGGGTCCCCTGCATGCCCCGAGCCATGCAGGCAGCCTGCCACGCAACCTGGCAGCCACACTGCAGGACATCGAGACCAAACGCCAGCTGGCCCTGCAGCAGAAGGGTGAGTGCCAGCTCCACACTGCCGCAGTTCAATGGGGCTGTGCTCCCACTGGGCATGCCTTTCTTCCCAGACACGCAGAGCAGCCCAGGCTGTGGTGGTGGTCCAGCTTCTCTGCGCAGCTTGGCAGAGGAGGGAATCTGGCTATGTCTCTACCCACCCAGCCAAGGGCAGAGGGATCAGCCAGGGCCATGGCAGCCCTGTGGGCAGCAGCCAGGCTCCAGCAGGACACAGCGCCTTGCTCACGGTCTCTTGCTTTTCCCCTCTCTCCCCTTCCCTCAATCCCTCCGCCTGACGGTGCATCTCCAGCCGACTCGCTCCCAGCAGAGCCCTTGCAGCCAGGCGATGTACCAGGTAGAGACGTGGAGCGGCTCGGATTGCCTAGAGTAGCCCCAAGGCAGAAGCATGGCTGTTTGCTGATACCTTCTGTGTGGATGGGGAGGGGGCATGGCTAGCCAGGACTCCAGGGTGCTGTCAGTGTCGGCTTATGGACAAACCCCTCAACCCCTGCAGGCATTCTGCACGACACAGGAGCTAAGAGAAGCTCAGTGCTCTCACATCCCCCAGGGACATGGGAGCTCAGGTCCTGCCTCATCCTCCTGAATGCTGTGCTGCATGGACAGACAGTGCCTCTGGGACAAGAGGCGAAAGCAGGCATGCTGCAGGGCTGCGCCATGGCCAGCACCTCTCTGCAGCATTCTTTAGGCCAGAGCTACTGCTCCCAGAGGCTGGGCTTTGGGCTTGGCAGGCACGATCCCAGGCTGTTCCCCTGCCAATGCTTTGCCAGCCTGCTCCCGCCAGCCTGACGCATGCGCTCCTTGGCTGCCATCGCCGCGTGTGTCGGAGCGCAGGCAGGGCCCTGTGCCAAGTGCTGACCTGGAACAGCAGCTGCTGTGTTTCCCTGGGGAGGGCTGTGCCGCATGTCAGCCCTGCGCCTGGAGAGGAGCACCGGGGGAGCTGCCGCAGCTCTGGCAGCTGTGAGCGCAGCAGGGCCTGGCCGCTGGGTTGAACCTCCCAGCCCTTCCGAGGAGCCAGGGCCAGCATCAGGGCACAGTCTCTCACTGAGCCCTGGGCCCAGCTCCTCCTGGCAGGTGCTACTGCTCACGAACCAGTGCCACGGCTGCAGCCCACCTCCATCTCCCCCTGCCCCACTTTAACCCCTTTCATTCCCATGGATGCTGAGCCAGGAGTGCAGCTCCTGAGCATGTGGTGCTCAGCAAGGCATGGTGCTGCTGCAGAGCCAGAGCCGGGCTCTTGAGGACAGCCCTGAGCCGGGCTGTGGCAAACTCTGAGTGCGGCATTCCATTGCAGCAGCTCTGTGACCTTCCATGCCCAGGCAGCAGAGCCTGCGGGCCCACAGCTGCCTGCCAACCAGCTCTCTCCTTCTTCCCGGGGCGCAGGTCAGCAGGTGATTGAGGAGCAGAAGCGGCGCCTGGCAGAGCTGAAGCAGAAAGCAGCGGCCGAGGCTCAGTCGCAGTGGGAAGCCTTGCACGGGCAGCCCCCCTTCCCCCAATCCTACCCTCCGCTCATGCATCACTCCATCCTCCATCACCACCACGCCCACGTTGCGGGCCCACGGGCCGAGGAGCTGGACCACGCATATGACACCCTCAGCCTGGAGAGCTCGGACAGCATGGAGACCAGCATCTCCACAGGCAACAACTCAGCCTGCTCACCTGATAACATGTCCAGGTAATCCTGGGGCTGGCTGTAGGCCCTAGGCTGAGCAGTGCAGGAGTGTAGGCTGCGTGTCTTCTTTGGCCCAGAGTCCTTGCTGTAGGCATTGTAGCTACCTGCTGAGCCAGGATTCCCTTCACACCTGAGGGGTGCAGCCTGACTGCAGAGACAAGGGGGTGTGAAGGGGCTCTTTATCACTGCTGTGTTGTGCAAGGACGGGCTTGAGTGCTGCATGAGAGCTGCCTGCTGCAAGCTGTCTGCTATGACACCTTCATGGCACCATCCTCCATCCCACGCTCACCTGCAGCTTCTGCCAGCACCAGCTCTGCAGGGCTGACTCTGTTGGAGGGATGGGGCCCAGCGTCTTGTCCTTGCCCCAGCCAAGGGGCTTTGCTGCTGTTTCCTGAGAACCTCCAGCAGCGTTGAGTTGTGCTGAGCCAGGCCCTGGCACAGGCAGGGCAGCAGGAGTTATGCTGTGGGTGTGTACTGACCCAGCGGTGTTCAGTCGTCTGCAGGATGGCAGCTGTGCTTGTCTTGCAGTGCAAGCGGGATGGACGCAGGGAAGATAGAGGAGATGGAAAAGATGCTGAAGGAGGCACATGCCGAGAAGTCCCGGCTCATGGAGTCCCGGGTGAGCAGATGTACCCCTGGGAGCAGGCTGGGAGCGGGACAGGGGCTGTGTCCCCGATCCATTGGGTCCCCAAGCCTGAGCACCTCTACACGTGCAGGAGCGGGAGATGGAGCTGCGCCGGCAGGCACTGGAGGACGAGCGCCGGCGCCGGGAGCAGTTGGAGCGCCGGCTGCAGGATGAGACGGCCCGCCGGCAGAAGCTGGTCGAGAAGGAGGTCAAGCTGCGGGAGAAACATTTCTCACAGGTGTGGGGCTTCGGGACAGAGCTCTCAGCTCCTCCTGGGATGCCGCAGCTCTCTCCCCAGGCAGGGACCTGCCACTGGGCTCGGTGGTGCTAATGGGTGCACTGTGCCCGCACAGCGAGGTTTGCAGCATGGTGTTGCTTTCCCAGGCTCGGCCTCTGACGCGGTACCTCCCCATCCGTAAGGAGGATTTTGACCTGCGGCTGCACATCGAGTCCTCGGGGCACAGCGTGGACACGTGCTATCACGTCATTCTGACAGAGAAGATGTGCAAGGGCTACCTGGTCAAGATGGGAGGCAAGATCAAATCTTGGAAGAAGCGCTGGTTCGTCTTTGACCGCATGAAGCGCACCGTCTCCTACTACGTGGGTGAGTCCCTGGGTGTGCCAGGCAGTGCTCAGCCCCAGCACCACGGCCAGGTGGCTGTCACCGCATCCCTTCCCCATGCCCCCGCTAACGTTGCTTTTCTCCGTGGGGCAGATAAACACGAGACAAAGCTGAAAGGTGTCATCTACTTCCAAGCCATCGAAGAGGTGTACTACGACCACCTCCGGAGCGCCGCTAAGGTGAGCCCAGGCTGCGGCTGCCGCGTTGTGTCCCGGCATGTGGGTGGGTGGGAGGGGCCGGGGGAGCCCACTGCCATGCTGACCCTGCGCTCTCCTTGCAGAGCCCCAACCCCGCGCTGACGTTCTGCGTGAAGACCCACGACCGCCTCTACTTCATGGTGGCCCCGTCGGCCGAGGCCATGCGCATCTGGATGGACGTCATTGTCACGGGGGCCGAGGGATACACGCAGTTCATGAACTGAGGGCCGGGCTGGGCGAAGCCGGGCGGCACAGAGCTCTGCGGGCGCGGCCACGGGCGGGTTTTTTGTTTTTTATGTTAACTTTTTAAAAACAATTTACTGGAAACGCGTCAGAGCTCTGAGATGTGAAACCGTGCGGCGCGAGGCCGGGGAGGGGCGGGGTCCTCCGGCCGCCAGGGGGCGCTCGCGGGCAACGGACGGCCCGCTCCTTTGTCACCGCGGAGGTACTGCTGCGCGCACGCGTCGCGCCGTCACGCGCGCTTCCGCCCACCCCGGCGTGCCCGGCCAATGGCGGCGCGGCTCCCGTCATGCCGGCTTCCGGCTTTCCCCGACGTGGCCCAATGGGGGCGCGCGGGCCGGCCGGATTGGGCGTGCGGCTCCCGGCATCGCCGTCCGCGCCAATGGGCTCGTGCCGCGTCCGGGCCGGGGGTTGCGCGAGCCGCGGAGCCGCGGACGCAGCGGCGGGCGGGAGGGGGGCGGCGCGGCGCCGCAGCGGGCCGGGAGCCGCGATGGCCGGGAGGATGGCGCGGGCGCCCCGTTGGATGCTGGGCTGGATGCTGCTCGCCTGCTGCTTGCCGCACGCAGGTACTCGGCCGGGCCGCCGCGGGGGAGGGCGGGATGTGGGGGGCTGCCGTTCCTCCGCGTGCCGCCGGGCCCGGCTCGGGCGATAGCGGCCCCGATGGTGTGTTTGGGCCGGCGCAGCCCCGGCCGCTCGGGGACGGCTGGTGGCCATGCGGTGCCGAGCAGCCTCCGCCCTGGGGACGAGCGCTCACGTCTGTTTCCTGCCATGCCGCAGAGCCGCTGGCTGTGATGTCCGTGGACATGGGCAGCGAGTCCATGAAGATTGCCATTGTGAAGCCTGGCGTGCCGATGGAAATTGTCCTGAACAAGTAAGCTGCTGTCCTTCGGGCGCACCTACCTGCAGCTGTCGGCTGTGGGCTGCCGCTCACGTGGGGGTTTTTAGGGGCTGGAACTTTGGGATCGTGGGGGAGCTCAAATAATTCTGTTCCTGCGGCACAAGAGGAACATCCCCTTCCATGTAGCAAAGAGTGCTCTGAGTTCAGCACTCGTGCTTCCTGACGTGGCTGTGGAGCACACACCTGAGCAGCTGGGCGGCAGCTTGGCCTTTACCCTTCTCTCAGGGTGCTTGGTCCCCCTTTGTGAGGGGGGGGGGAAGTGTTAAAAGCAGGCAGCCCACAGTCTGAATAATATCTTGTGCTACAAACATGAGAGGATGTGGTATCGTGTTTCTGTGTGTAGAGTTAAGCTGGGTTATCACTTCTCCATAAGGGAGCACGAAGGCTGGTTCGTTTTCCTGCACCTGCCACAACCCACAGTCACTTGTGAAGTGAATAAAACCCTCCTCTCGCTTGGGTGCTATCGCCAGTTCCAGTCCTCAAGACAATAAATGGAGAAACTGCAGCTTGGAGAGGACCATCCTTGCTTCATAGGAGTCTAGGCTCAGGCAGATAACAAATGCATTTTTCACTCTGAAACTTGGCAGGCATTGGCAGAAGCTGGCTTGCTTTGCTCACTGGTGGAAGAAAGCAAAAATAAAGCAAGTTTTGTCTAATCATGAAGTAGCATGTTCCAGAAAATGACTTGTGAGTCTTTGCTCTTCAGGGCAAGTTGTTTTCTTGTAGCTTTGTTAGAAGACTGCTGTTGTGTCACTAGGCGTTCAGAAATGGATGGCACACAGAGGTATTTGTGAGCTTAGTGGACAAATTGGAGCCGTTTGGTAGTTGTTGTAGTGAAATACTCTTCCTAGGGCATTCATGCTGGATTTGTAGCAGAGAGGATGCATCCATTCTGAAGTTCTCTGGTGTTATGGGAAGAACAGTGGTCTGCTCCACAGCTTCAGTTATTAATTTGAAAGGTTTCTGTCCATGTTTCAGTCAAGTTTATTGTAAGGAACATTAGAAAGTATGAAAATTTTCTAGAGTGGTGTTACTGCAGCGCTTGCAATTAGTGGAGTTTGTCTTCCTCTCAGTAGGTGGTATCTGAGCATCTTGCTGCAGTCTTTCTGAACTGAAAACGCTGCCATCTGTCACAAGGACTTCTGTTTTGAGTGTTGACTTGTATTTCCTTTCTGTACAGGGAATCACGGAGGAAAACACCTGTGGCTGTTGCTTTGAAGGAGAATGAGCGGCTCTTTGGTGATAGCGCACTAGGAATGGTAAGAATTCTTGTTACTTATTACGCCAGCTGCAATTCACATGCACAGAATGCGTGTTTCTGCTCTTGAGAGAGGTTTGTTAGACAGTAACCGAGCCAAAGAGATGCAGTTGGATGATTTTCTTTCTTTCTGTAGTCTATAAAGACCCCCAAGGTGGCCTTCAGATACTTTCAAGATCTGCTGGGTAAGCAGATTGATAACCCTCAAGTGGCACTGTACCAGTCCCGATTCCCAGAGCATGAGCTGGTGAAGGATGAGAAAAGACAGACAGTTATCTTCAAGCTGTCACAGTAAGTGACTGCTTCTGGGCTCCTGCTGGGTAGGACTTCTGCTGTTGGACTTGCAGAGCTGACTGTATTTGTAAACTTCTCCTCTTTCTCATAGAGCATTACAGTATTCCCCGGAGGAGATGCTTGGTATGGTCCTGAACTATTCACGTGGTCTGGCTGAGGAATTTGCAGGTTGGAAAGATTTATCTATTTCTTACAGTATCTGCATATGTTTATGTATTATAGGACTTAAATAGCTGTTATTGTGTTATAATGTATTTGCATGTGGTTGCTCTAATGGAAGAACATGTCTGTTTCAGAGCAGCCCATCAAGGATGCAGTAATCACTGTTCCTGCCTACTTCAACCAGGCAGAGAGGAGAGCAGTGCTGCATGCTGCTCGCATGGCTGACTTGAAGGTTCTGCAGTTGATCAATGACAACACTGCTGTAGCTTTGAACTATGGAGTTTTCAGGAGAAAAGACATCAATGCCACTGCGCAGGTAGGTGTCACTGGGAGATGCAGAGTATGCATCTGCACACTGCATGCATGCAGGAAGAGAGTGCTACAGAGTCAAAATACCACAACAGTGAGGAAACAGATCTGCTGTTCAGCTAGTTTCCTCGGTCTTCATGTGTTCATCGATGAGATGAAGAGATTAAACTCTCCGTGTGTGGGGTACAGCCGTAGAGGCCACAGAGCTTCTGTGGTGAAAGCTAAGTGGATAGGAGTTCACATCTTATAAGGCTGTTTGTTCCTTGCTCGTCAGCTGGTGGGGAATAATATCAGCAGTTTTTTGAGGTTTTGGATGGCTGACTCTGAACTAGTTGATCTTGCTGAGATTTAAGAAACTTTGAAAGAGCAAAGCTTTGTTTTCTGATTTATAGAATGATTGAAAAAGCTTTCTTGTCTGCTTGTCATACATGATCCTGAACGTCTCCTTATTTTTGATTGAAGCACAAGTCGTGCATCGCTGTCATATGGAGTAAAGCTGGTCCAGGGCATGGATAAACTTAGTGTTCTATCAGGCTTGGAAAGCCATGGGTTCTTTCCTTGTTCATGGGGGATATCGAGGTGTTTCTGCTTCACCGTCCCAGCTTCTCTTTTCAGAATATCATGTTTTACGACATGGGAGCAGGAAGCACCGTTTGTACTATTGTTACCTATCAGACAGTGAAAACTAAGGACTCGGGAACCCAACCTCAGTTGCAGATCCAGGGCATTGGGTAAGAATTCAACATGAGTCTCACAAAACCTGCAGGTCTCAGGAAAGAAATCTTCTGTTTCGTGGTCTCTTTTGCACAGATTTTTTTCGGTGAGACTTCAGGATGGTAATTTGGATAACAAAGTGGAAAGCATTTAGAGTGAGATGGCTATGGTTATTAATAATTCTGACATCACTGTCTCGTGCAGAAGGTAGTTGAGAATTTGCAGGAGCCCAGGAAGTGACATTGATACTTAGTCTATTTCAGACTGCTGCTTTTTATTTTTCCTGTTGTTTAAACAGCTTCAATCCATTTTTGTTCAATCCCATTTCATACAGCATTACAGAAGTAGAACATGACAGTTTGGAAAAGGTGGAATATCCTTCTGGAGAGGAGTGAAAATGCACTGTAGTTAAATGTTGCCAAATAAGAAAGGGGAGAGTTGCTTTACATGTTCAGCTCAGCAATTTGAACTCTAGAACACAGTACTGTTGCTGACAAGATACCTAGGACCTGGCACAGTCATGGCTTGGCTTCTCAGCTGTTTGATGTGCTTAGCAATAAGGCCTTATGCCATAAACATCGTGATGTTTCTTGTTCAGTGGCTACTGTGGTGGTGAATCTTTCTTTTCTTGACATCTTTTTTGGGGGGTAATTGTTACTCTTTTGCAGTCACAGCTGACAGTACATCAGCTATCTTTGACCGCTTTCTGCTCTGAAATAATACGTGAGGTTTCTTTGCTTTCAACCCGCCGCAGCTTATTCTGTCTTGGTTCTTTCTTTTGCTCAGGTTTGACCGTACTCTTGGAGGTTTGGAGATGGAGCTTCGTCTCCGAGATTATTTGGCAAAACTCTTTAATGATCAGCACCCCTCGAAAGATGTCCGAAAGAATCCCCGGGCCATGGCCAAGCTGCTGAAGGAGGCCAACCGCCTGAAAACTGTCCTGAGTGCAAATGCTGACCACATGGCACAGGTGGGGCGGGGTGCAGAACTCCAAGAGTTCTTAGGGCTGAGGGTGGGATGATGTTATTTAGATTAATTGCTGAATGTGGACAGAATTAACTACTTATAGTGTAGATAATGTCATTAAATGCCAGCCGCTCCTCTGCAGTGTCAGTATACTGGAAAGAATCACCTGTAGTATTTCAGGGGTGGTGGCACTGGCAGCTCCTTCAGACCTGTGCTCACTTAATAGCTGTTCTGATCAAATGAGTGCATTGGATGAAGGTTAGTTGTGTGGAGCTTGGTAACTAAACTTCCATTGGGTTCAAGAGAAGCTGTCTGTTGTGCCTGTGTTCCATCCTTTCACAACAGCAACTACAGGATTCAGGTGGAATGCTGTAAGGTCCTAAGTGCAGTGACAACACTGGAACTTTTTTGCATGTTAGGCAAATTAGGCAGAGATTCTGGTTGTAGAATGCTCTGTGAATTTTTAATTCTTATCTTT